GGAATTTAAAATAATAAACTATATTAAATAAATATAAAATATATTAAAAATTGTTATTTGTTTCGTTATTAGGTAAATATTTAGATAACTTTTGCTAGTAGCATGTATAATCTTTTTGTTTCAAATATGTTGTTTTCTTTCTCAGTCAATGTATTTATTTTTGATATATGTATAACTTTTAGAAAAAAATATATATGTACATAAAAACTTACTTCAAAATTTAAATAATTCTTAACCGTATATTGTATCAGATGTATTATTATTTCCATAACTTGCTTGACATATATAATCCTGATACGGGTAACCCATAATTTTTCTTCTACAAATGGCTTACGGGATACACAATTTTGTTTGAATCAAAAATATCGTTCATTATATTTATGTTATTACTACAGAATTGTTTTTTATTTTATTTATTAAAAATATTGAACGCAAAAAAAATTCTAAAAAGATTTCAGTATTTAAGTCCATAATAAACCATGTTTATTCTTAAAATGAAAACTCATTTTCTGTAATTCTTACATTTTGTCATTCAATAAAAAATTTCTGGTTTACCAATTTCATTATTTGGTGGGCTTTATTTCTATCAATATTTAAAAAGTTTTTACAAAGCTTCATTTCATTAGCACTTTAATTAAGAGACTAGTTTTGTTTAGACAAATAGTAATCTATAAATTGGTGCACCAGAAGCGTATGAGTGTAGTTTTCAAAACTATGATTTACCTACATAAAATTTGTGCACATTAACATCATTTATGAGGAATATTTATATTTAATATTTATATTTATTTAATTACAATCACGTCAATATCACATAGAAATAATATAGTAAATAATAAATAAACTTAATGCGAATTGCAAGCTTTTAATGTAAAATAGTTTATATTATATTAAATGAACTGAATTTAAAATAAAAACTTATATATAATTTCATATGTTTATATATTACGTTTTTATTATGAATATTGTAATATATTACATTATATTATATATATTATATTATGAAATTTTAAATATTTCAAGAAACACCAACTAAATGATCAAAATCTTTCTAGACTATGTAGTAATCTAGGTACAGATACCATTGCATACGTTTTTTATTTTCTCCTAAAGTCAACTAGACGCTTAAACTATAACCTTTTTTTTAAAATATGTTAATTAAATTGAAGCCGAAATTGATGAGCGATTTTCTCTTCAAAAATTTAAATCTGCTCAGGAATGGGACTCTTAATATAGATTGAGGTAAAGAATGGTTATTGTAAGGAAAATTTATAGAAAAAATTATGTTTAGCGTCTCAATTAAGAAGTTTTAAACTTAAACTTTTTACAAAAAAATTGGATATAATATGATCATACGGTTAAATTTTCTTTACTTAAATATATATAAGAACAAACTTAACATGTTTTCACAAATGTTTAATTCAAATTTTTGAGCATGGTTTGGACCATTTCTATTTTTGTTGGGCCATGCAGACTTCTAGTAGAGTGAAACCATTGAAAGCTATAGATCACTTTAGCTAGCTCATTTTTGTTAATGTGCAGTTGTTTGGTGATGATGCTAGATGTATAAGGTCAACTCGGGCAACATACGATATTACTTGCAAAATAAAAGAAATGATATTTTCATTAGTTTATATTCATGCACAATACATATGTTATTCGATCTTCATGGTTTGCTAAGTAAGATTAAACACATTTACATAAAAATGCATTGATTAAATATTTACGGAAATACATTTTATTTAAGTTAACAGTAGTGAAACTTCCTTACATAATTGAAGTTCTAGTGTTAAAAATATGGGAATTCAAATATGTATATATTTTAAATGCAATTTTTTTCTCCTATCCTCTTCTCCTTTAATAAAATCGTTTTCATAGTAAACCTTTAATTAATGTATAACAAAAAATTCTTGTTTATTATATTTTGTTTTCATTATTATTGAACAAATATTTTTATACAAATAATTATCTATACTCGTAAATATAATTTTGTTAACTTGTTTATTAATAATTTATTTATTTCAGTTTTAATTAAATATTTGCTTTACTGCGAAATTGCTGAATTGTTTATTTTTTGACTGCTGAAACTTTTGAGTTTGGGTTTCAAATTGTTTATTGTTTCCATACTGTTTGACCTTTTGTAAATATGAAATTATCTTCTAAACAAATCGCAATTTTGCAGTTCAACCGAGTGTAAACAAAAAGTACAAAATATTTACAAAATATGGTTTTGGCTTTTGTTATTGGTTAACCGACGATATAAAACCTAAAACAAGGATAACAGAACTTTTCCAACAACCAACAACCAACAACCAAAAGCGAAAAAATAAAATTCTAACCACAATTGTTATGTGCATGAAACTGTTTTATTTTTTATATAAAATATTTAATGCAAAGTCCTGTAGAGACATGTGGACATATTTTTATTTAATTTGTTATTTTAAATGCAACGTTTAGTCAAGTGTTAAAAACAGTTATAAAATATGTGGTTTTTTGGCTAAAATCAAACGGTGTATCCTTTCACATGTTGTTGACATGTTTTGTCGTAGACTGAATGTATGTTGAATAAATTATTCCGAAGTGGAAAGGACATGACAGCGCTTCAAAAATGCATTAAACAGAAAATGTTTCATATATTATTTTAAATATATTTTAAAAGAAATATAGATTTATTTGAATGCAAACCATACTTACAGCGGAACTAGAGCAATTAATCAACCTCGAATCAATATATAAAATATAAAGCCTCATTTTATTTGTTTGGTGTCTGCATAACTCACATTTTGGACACGCATATACACACATCGGTTTTATTAAATAAAATGTAGCATATTAATGTAATATTTTAACATAAATATTAAACGTTTTTGTAATATAATTAAGAGCAGATGTTACTAACATTTTATGTTAAAAATACGTGTTCACTTCGGTCCGAAGCCTGTTAAATTGTAATTAATTATTTGAATTTATATAAATGAGCACATTTTATTAATAAATATTTCTAACAATATTTGTAAAATAAAGATTAAGTATTCTGAACGAATAATTGAATTTATAGAAAGTGAATTATTTTTATTCAAAGAGAATTTATTAAAATTCACACAGATGGCAATAAAAACTAATTTTAACATAAAAACAAAAAACTATTAAGTAATAAGTAATACCAACAAAATTAATTTAAATAGATTTAAATTTAAGTGATCCTTTAGGGGTTGATGACTATACATAAAACTTATCTTTAAATAGGAAATTAATTTTAGTAGATACTACCTAACATAAAAATAGGAAGAAGCAGTTGAAAAGAGATGAAATTTAGATATGAACCCCCTTTAGGGGTTCATGTCTGTACATAAAACTCTTATTTTTAAATAGGAAATTAACTCTAATCGATACTACCTAACAAAAATATGGGAAGAAGCAATTGTAGAGATACAATTTAGATATGAATAAGGACTAAAGGTGTTTGCCGATTACCAAACGGTACTTATTTATTATTTTATTAGTAAAGAAAATAATCATTTTATTTAAAATTTTGTGTAAATTTCACAATTAAAAATGCGCCTAAATTAGGTTAGGTGTGGTTAGGAAGGAGTGTGTTAATATATATATGAACAACGTTACTCGGAATTATATATTGCTAATTAGGGATCCTTCAAGTTTTCAAAAAGAGTCGAGGTAGTCTAACTATTGTTTCTAAGGAATCTTTTTAATGCTTAATATATTTTTAACCAATAAAAAATTGCTTTTAACACTGTTTTTAACACATACTTTTTTCTGCTGTACGCAGTGGCGTAACTACAGGGAAGCAACTGGAAGCAACGCTTTCGGGCCCCCGAATTTAGGGGGCCCCACTATAAATTTTTGTATTCATTGTATTTCTTTTTAATAAATTCTCAAAAGTGGGACGAAACGTTTTTTGTTGGAATAACTTCATATTGCATTTTATAAAAGATACGTAAATTTTAAATTTAAAGTACATAATATGTATGTACTTCAAATAAAATATTAAACCTATTTATGAAATAAAAAAGTTTTTTTAAGAAAAATATGTGTCTTGATCGAGAGTTTATATGGAAGCTATATCTAAATTAAAACCCATAATTTTGTACGTTGTCTTTTGCAAATATCAGTACTGTATACACCATATTCCATTTAAATACCTTTATTAAAAACGGAGAAACCTCATATCCGATTGTTAAGTTTATATCACAGCTACAAGAAATAGACGTCCAATTTCAATCAAATCAAATGGTGAACAGGGTGCGCTCCCGAAAAGTATGTGTATAAAGTTTTATTCGAAGAGTTCAAAAGCTGAGAGAGTAGTTTGAACTGTAAAAGTATACTGATATATACTTAATGGTATTTTCGAAGTTTCCTTTAATGCGTTACGAAAATCTTGACAAACCTTATATACCCTTTTTACATTTTTTCGTGTAAAGAGGGGCCCCTTAGTATGTTGGTAGGGGCCCCTTAGTTAGAGTTTGCTTACAGGCCTAAAAAATGTAGTTACGCCACTGGCTGTACGAAAAACTCACTTTTGTATTTATTCAAAACCAATTAATAGAAAAACTTTGAGCTAAAAAAGGTTGAACTATATAAAATAATTCCATGTTTATCAACATTGCAATAGAAAATTAAACGAAAACAATCTGTGCTAGAAAATTGAATCGACAGCTAAAATCATGTGAGTTAGTCAGTTAAAAGTCAGCGCAGTCAACTGTTAAAATTAAAATTAAATATACAAATTTTTATAAGAGAAATCAAAGTTGAAACAAATATCAAAGTGAATTTATCTGATTTCTTTAGTAAACGTGTATTTACACTACTGTATGTCTGCCTTTTTATCAGCAAAAACGAAAATACACATGCAAATTTTAAATATGCAAAAAAAATAATGAAATGTGAAATAAGAAAAAAATGCTACCCTCAGTGAGGGTTCCTCACTATTAAATTAAAAAAAAAAAAGAAAAAATAGAAATAAAAAAAGTTTACAAACTTACGCCTTAAATCCCTTGGATCTGAATTATTGCTGCGCGGACTTTCACCCTTTTCACCATCATAATCGTTTGATCCTTCCATCGATTCATGTGAAGTGCAAGTGGGACTCGCTGAATCAGTACGAAAAGATTCATTTCCATTGAAAAGATTCTAAGATATGCAAAGAGAAAAAACCTTATTTCGAATTGTTGTTAAAAAAGGATAACGTCAAAATATAAATCCAAATAAACACATTTGCTTATTTTTGTTTAATAATTGGATTTTGTGTTAAAATCCCACAAAAATCATAAGAAAAAAATAAAAATGCACATTTGTATGTCAAACTTGACAGTTTTGACAGCTTACACATATAATACATATTTACATGTATATATATATATGTATATATATACGAATATATACATAGTTATAATATTAAGTCTCTTGCTCACCTGATCTAATGATATGCCTATATATTTGGGCGGAGAAAATGCTGAAGGTAGTTGAAAATTTGATAGCACCGACGGTTTTCCGAGACCACGTTCGTTGGCGAAATAACTCGCTGGTCCGCCATTGGCGAGCATTCCATGATTGAGTGTTTGTAGCAAGTGCGGGTGAAAACTATGCAGCAGATGTGTTCCGTAACTGCCAACCAGTGACATATTGTGTAGATCTTTGGCGTCCGGTAACTGTAAAGAAATGTTTATTTGAATAAAAATTCTAATATTACAAAATTGTTTTATTTTTCAATGTTCTTAAAAAAGTAATATTGTAAAAATAAAATATTTTTATGGTAAAAATTTAATATATTTTTTGCTATTCAACATTTTATGACATGTTAAGCTCTAGAATTTGGTCTGTAATAATATATTTATCCTTTTGGGTCAAAGGAGGTCAAAGAATATTTGTGTTTACCCTTTTTAAGTTCAATAAGGTCATTACATTTTCATATTTTTCTATAGAAATAGTACAAATATGAAATAGTTTTTATTTATGTAATGTGTTAAATTGGTTATGTTTTCACAAACTGAAGATACATCAATTTTATTTCAATTTTCATTGACTACATACAATTTTTCGATCAGATCTTTAATTATTTTACTTTTGTTATAAGTTCATTTATAAAAACGTAGTTGCAGAATTTCAATTTTATTTAATTTGATTAAAGTTATATAAAGGGGTTTTCCATAATGAAAAAAACCTAAAGTATCAACGAATTTTATTGTAAATATTACAAATTAGGTTATATGTTATATATAAGTTGTTCTAAATTTTTTTTTATTATGGTTAATTTTTTCTTGCCGATAATGGCTTGTCTTTTTATGACGAAAGAAACTGTTTAAAAGTTAGACGGATTCGAATTGTCTTTGTCCTTTCTTTGCTATTCGAATCCGTCTAACTTTTTTTTATTAATTAAATATTTATAAAACGATTCTATTAATTAGTTATAAAGTAAAATTCATGCTAAAGCACTTGTAAAAGAATTCATAACGCGTTGCGTAAATTTAGAAATGCCACAACGCGATATGTTAAACGCATTTTGATTACACTAAATACTATACTACTTGATACTACTTCTGCCATTTTTTAATTACCGCAACGAAGTCGGGCTGTTTTTACCTATAACTTACCTATAATTTGTATATCACATTGTTACTATATTAAAACAATCGCGCTCTGGTCGTTTTTTCCGTTCAATAAGCGTTTTTATTTATTTTTTTTTTATAGTAATTCAAACGCCAGAAAAGGTTTGGATATACTAACTGTTTTATAGATAATACAGCATATTAGCGTGATTAGAGAAAATTGTTTGAGAACAAGCAAGTACCGTCAGACGGTTCCATTAGTACCGGTACCGTCAGACGGTTTCATCAGTACCGGTACCATCAGACGGTCAGTCAGATAGGCATATTAAAGTGTATGAATATAAGTAATAAGAAAACTTCTACTTAAAAATATTACTGTGAGTTGAGATAATATTGTAATATTTATGAAATTAATGGAGGAGTATTATTTCTTAAAATACTGGCTAAGAAATATATCAAACTTTTTAAAAAAATATGTGTAGTAACAACAGTTCAATAATTATTTGTTTTCATTGGTACTCAAGAACGAATGTGATTTAAAATATTTGTATTTTAAGTTCCTGACATTAAGAAAAGATTGGAATTTAAAACATTGTCTAATATGTAACACTTCTTTAGATATATAGTCTATTCCCTATAACGTTGGTTTTTTATTGTTGAACTCTAACTGAAGTCTGTCGTAGATGCTATTTTATAAAATTATAATAATTTGTTTGCACTTTTTTTCTGAAACTTGAATTTCAAAAACTTTTATTATTTTTTCATATTTAACAAAAACATAAAATTTTTTGATTTAAGCGTATCCAGGACTCTTAATTGGAACAATATGCATTTGAGATATTTTTTCCATTTTGAAGTTGTCGGTATTCATATTAATTTATATTACATCGGTTTTTTGAGGGACTTCCGAATTGGCACTAACTTAGTACGATATTTTAGTACATATATATATATAAATTTTCTTGATTCTCTGGAGATTTCTCTGATTCTCTAGATGTATATATAAGTACATGTGAATGTATGTATAATGTCTAAGTCTAAGTTCTTTGAGTCCATGCTTTGAAATTAAATTTTAATCCAGAAAAACTCACTAGAGTTGAATTTAATGTGTTGATAAATAAATTCTAGATATTTTCTAGAATCTTAAAAGCAGCGGACAATGCTTTTTTTTGTGTTTTTGTGGAATTATTATTTTCTTATATATTTTATTTTTTTGCTTATAGATTTTTTTCGTATTCACTAACATTTGTATAATAATTTCAGTTTATAAATGTTAATGTTGCTGCAATAGTAAATTTAGTTCAATATAATTAAGTTTTCTTGATGTTACTTTCTTCCTTAAGATCCATATACATATATGAGCATACCCTTTGAGTATTCAGATATTTGTCATTTCAAAAATCTGGCAACATTTCGAAATCGTTGCAGTCTTGAAATATCTGTTTTAAATCCAAAAGTTAAATGATGGAATACATTTATGGTTATGATATCATTAAACGATTCATGAAGAAAAGAAAATTTCAATAAAAGCACTATACACATTTAGATATAGAAATTGTCTTAATTCTTGAAAACTGCTTAAAAGAAAATTACTTTAAAATAAATTAAGACGCCACTGTCTTTTTTAGTTCCCAGTACAGTGGCGTCGCTAGGCGTCAGCGATGTCGACGGCCTCGCGCCCGCAGGGGACTCGCAAAAAGTTACTGACTGTGGATTCTAAGCACTTAATAAATATTTTGAGCAATTTGGTAGGATAATGGCATTAACTATATTCGAAGTATTCCCTAATGTTTATATAGTAATCAGATTCATGTTCACAGTTCCAGTCAGTATAGCTTCGACGAAAAGAAAGAAGCAAAGTTAAAATTGTTTAAGACGTACTAGAAAAGTATGATGGTCCAAGAGAGACTATCTTCATTATGATATAATTTAAAAAAAAATAGAGTGATACTAAAAGTAGGAAAATTCATTTATTTTAATTTGTGTTTATTTTAAATTGATTAGCAATAAAACTTTCAATCATGCTTTGTCGTATTAGTGAATGTAACTTATTTACTTTTACAACTGGGTTATAAAGGGGGCCTCGCAATTCTGATGTCGCCGACGTGCAGAGTTGGTCTAGCTCCGCCACTGTCCCAGTATTAGATATTTGCTCTATATAGAGAATTCAATTTTTATTGAACTTTAACTTAAATTTGAAAATATTTGAAATACATTTAAAAATACTAATAAGAGAAATTAGAAACTATATAACATATTAAAGTATATCTAGAAGATACGATTTTTTTTTGACGAAAAACTCTATATGTAACAATTTGTATGTAAATTTAGATTGAAATATTGGAAAACTTTTCAAACAAAGTCGTTACATTTAAATACATACGTTAACCGCTTTAAACGGGATGTGCGAAGCTCATACATGCTTCAAACACATGTGCGCACATGTTATCCTTCGATTTGAATCAAGCGCAAATATCCTTATTTTGTCATCAGATATTTTAAGTGGGAGTAGCAAATCGGCACGGCTGGATGCGTTTAAGGCATATCATTTGCACAAATGATGTGTGTAAATACCAATTTTTTTTTTGTTTAATGGCTTAAGAAGTCTGATGTGTTGGAGAAGATAAAAATAAAAGATATTGGTTTGGAGTAAATTTGTGACAAGAAAAAAATTTGCATAAAATTTCACTTTTAATATAGCAATTTTAAGTCCTTGGTTGAAATTTCTTTTATTAAGAGATTGCAGCGAATTGTCATTTTTTTTAAATTTACTTAAATACATAATAATATATATAAATATTATTTATGTGGTGTTAAATACTTTAACCATATCGATAATTTCATCATTTGTAAAAATGTCAGGTCTCAACAGTAAAAATATTTTATAAATTTTTATAATGAACTTTCGGCAAATTTTAAAACTTTTTTTGAAATTCTTATACAAGGATACTTAGATAAAATATTGTTGGCTTGGAAACATGTTGGTGTGTGAAACATAAATTATTTAGAGTAAGCCAATAATGTGAGCTCAGTTAATGACTTCAACTAAATCCAGGAAAATTTTCACCCATTTTCATCACATATGCAGTTTTTAATATTTTGGAAAATTTACATACTTCCTGTAGTGAAGGACGGCTTTTGGTTTCATTCTCGAAGTGCTAGGTTGATGAGTAGAGCATTGTTGTCGTTTAAGGAAAATTATAACAACACAGGTTGTAAGGGTTTTGTAAGTATTGTTTATAGGTTTTGCTTTTTCTAATTTGATTTATGATTATACTATTAACTTCAGTCTATTTAATTAAAAACAACGTCTGCTTAATATGAATTAAAAAATTTTTGAAGTTAATTACATAAAGAAATCATAAATTTTGTACGCAAGAACTTCTCTTAAATTTAAAACTAGATAATATAAATGTTTATGAAGTGATTATTTATAGTCTCTTTTATAAAGGTTTTTTGGAATGGTATAAATGTGCTGTTATTCAAATTGTTTTATTTAATTACTGGGAAATAGAACTTACAAAATACATTATCTGTTTTTCGCCGATAATGATTTTTTTAATAAAAACTCTAAGAAATTAGTTTCAATAAAAATTATATTATCTATAAATCTAAACCCATTGATTTTGTCAGCGCTTCTGTGTGTTCTAATACTTCTTTTCATAAGAGCTGTGAAATAATACCATCTTTTAATAATATCTGGAAAATCTTTACGCAAAGATTCACGTCAAACCTGTATTTATAAATATGTATTTAAAATTAATGTTAAGTAAAAAATGTTTACAGAGTGTTACTATAAGAAGCTATGGTCCTCACATTTGCCTTAGTAGGAGTGTTAACGAAATACTTTATCTCATTTGTGGTAGCGATTGCTCATATTTTTTCAAAGACGAAGTGTGTGGGAATACCAACGTCAATGCCGCTCTGATCAGATTCGGAAATGTGGTCGAAAATGCTTTCGACAGCTATATATATCAATAAGATATCAATAATATTAATTTGTCAAAAAAAAATAACAAATGTTCGATGATTTTATTATAAGGAACTATGTCCTGATCTTTTTGAACGTCCGATTTACCGCCGGGACAATGCGTATGCAAAAAAG